GTATTTGTTCAGGGATCACACACGTACCTTTACCATGTTGTTCCCAGGTAGGAAAGACAAAGATTTTCCTTCGAGCTGGTCAGATGGCTGAACTAGATGCGAGGAGAGCAGAGGTGCTTGGGAATGCTGCCAGAGTCATTCAGAGGCAATTCCGCACATGTATGGCCAGAAAGAATTACCGTTCTATTCGCAATGCTGCAATTGTTTTGCAATCCTTCCTACGAGGTATTTTCTGCACATCAGTAAGGTTTCGCCACAGTGTAGGCTGTTCAGTCAGAATTATAGTGCTTACCCATCCTTTTCTCATTGCATCCTATTGTTTCCATCAATTGTAGCATATCCATTTCATCTTTACTAGGTCTTTCTTTTCTGTTTTGATCATCTTTTTTTCCTTTTCTGTTGGTAGTAGCTGGTAGTTTTAAGTTTGGTATATATGCTTGGTTAATTGTAGGCGAAATTGCCCGGATGGTACACAAAAAACTGAGAATAGAAGCTGCAGCTCTAAGATTCCAGAAGAATTTCCGCCGGTACGTCCACAGGAAATCTTTTGTCACCACAAGATCATCTACAATCGTGTTGCAGGCTGGCTTAAGGGCCATGATTGCACGTAGTGAATTCAGGCTCAAAAGGCAAACAAAAGCTGCCATTGTGCTTCAGGTAGATCACAGTTTCCTTGTTGCTGGGAAGGAACTACACAACCTTCTTAGGACGGAAATAGGAAAACTTTGGTGACTGTTCTCTTTGATGGATAAAAGATTCTTATCTCCCCTTTTTTCAGGCTCATTGGCGTGGTCGCCAAGCATACTCGTATTACACAAGACTTCAGAAGGCGGCAATTGTCACACAATGTGCCTGGAGATGCAGACTTGCTAGAAGAGAGCTTAGAATGCTGAAAATGGTTAGATTCTTTGCTTTGTGACTTTTCATTTCTTTCTTACACTGTGTGCATGAATTTTCTTATTCAGCTGTTTATTTCCATATGTACATTGATTTAGGCTGCAAGAGAAACCGGTGCTCTTACAGATGCTAAGAATAAATTGGAGAAGCGGGTAGAAGAGCTTACCTGGCGTTTGCAATTGGAGAAGCGGTTAAGGGTAACTGAGATGTTAATTTTCTTTTGGAAATATCCTTAGGTTAAACCAATTTACACTTTGTGGTCTGCAAAGTCAGTTGCAAATTTTGGATTATATTGTTATATTTTCACTGATAAACAGACTGATCTTGAGGAGGCAAAGGTGCAAGAAGTTGCAAAGCTGCAAGAGGCATTGCATACCATGCGGTTACAATTGAAAGAGACTACTGCAATGGTCGTAAAGGAACAGGAGGCGGCTCGAGTAGCAATTGAAGAAGCATGTTCAGTTAATAAGGAACCTGTTGTTGTTGAAGATACAGAGAAGATCGATTCTTTGAGCAACGAAATTGACAGGCTAAAGGTAAAAACTGACATATTTAACCAAATAGCTTCAAGATGTAATTGTCTCTGCACCATAAATGTAGCTGTGTAAATTTAATAATGAGAATTCTTTCTGTTTCTGGATTTTAAAAAGAAAATACTTTATGTGAAAGCCTTCCATTATTTCATTGTTCGTGCCACTGATCTACTATCTCGACATGGTCCTAATGCAGGGACTGTTGTCATCAGAAACACAAAAGGCAGATGAAGCAAAACAGGCTTATCTTAGTGCCTTGGTCCAAAATGATGAATTAAGTAAGAAACTTGAAGAAGCTGGAAGAAAAATAGATCAGCTTCAAGATTCTGTTCAGAGGTTTGTTTTCATTTCCAAATTTGGGATCATGATGCATTTGTTTCTCCATGTGAGACTTTTATCTTTCTTTATACAAATATTTTCCCCTTGTTAATAAGCTTTTACGTTCTCAGGTCATGCATTTAGAGGTTTAACTAGTATCAGATATTGCCTTAGGCCCATTTTTTCTCTAAAATAAGAAGACTAACGAAAGATTTCCCCTTCCTATATATTAGATTCCAAGAAAAGGTCTTTAACTTGGAGTCGGAGAATAAAGTACTCCGGCAACAAACTCTTACCATCTCACCGACTACTAGAGCTTTGGCCCTAAGACCAAAAACTACCATAATCCAGGTACTGGTGGACACCAGCTATGTCTTTGCATTGAACTTCCTAACAGTGCATATGTCCTTTTTGATATTTCCTTGGAATTTCAGAGAACTCCCGAGAAGGATACTTTCTCCAATGGAGAAACAACACAACTTCAGGTATGTTGATAAACAAAATAAGCCCCTTGTGTAATTACCATATACATTGATGGAGATCTAATATTTAATGATATGCTCCAGGAACCTGAAACTGAGGATAGGCCCCAAAAATCGCTTAATCAGAAACAGCAGGTAGCTACCACTTTGAAGCCTTGTCACATATTTCATTTGCGGGGATAAGATGTTCTGTTTTTGTCAGTATGCATTTTGCATACTCATTATGTGCGGTTTTCCATCTTGCAGGAAAATCAAGAGCTGTTACTAAAGTCTATTTCGGAAGATATAGGATTTTCTGATGGCAAGCCTGTCGCCGCCTGTCTGATATACAAGTGTCTGATACATTGGAGATCTTTTGAAGTAGAAAGAACCAGTATATTTAATCGTATAATCGAGACAATAGCATCTGCCATCGAGGTAGTTTTGATGTTCTTTCATACCAACACAAATGTTCTTTCCTGCTTCATGGGTGGTCTACTGGTCTCACGCTAGATTTACATCTTTGCAGATGCAGGAAAACAGCGATGTACTATGCTATTGGTTATCCAATTCCGCCACATTATTAATGTTTCTTCAACGCACTCTGAAAGCCGGTGCTACAGGAAGCATAACTACTCCCAGACGTCGGGGAATGCCTACATCTTTGTTTGGACGGGTATCTCAGGTGGTTATAAGTGTTTACGTGTCTCTCAAAAATGCTTTGATTCCATTAATCTCACTTTTCTCATGAAATTACTTGTATAATAGAGTTTCCGAGGTTCTCCACAAAGTGCTGGATTCCCATTTATGAGTGGAAGGGCGATCGGTGGTGGGGTAGACGAACTACGTCAAGTTGAAGCTAAATATCCTGCTTTGCTTTTCAAACAGCAACTCACAGCTTTCCTAGAAAAGATATATGGAATGATCCGAGACAAGATGAAGAAAGAGATTTCCCCTCTGCTTGCTTCTTGCATTCAGGTAGGCATTCTTTTTAATTGCCTTTTGTTCCACAGAAAAGAGTCTTTGTTATATTATTGTGTATTAAAGCCCCTGAGTCTGGTTCTGGTTTTGTCGTTTGATGGAAACAGGTTCCAAGGACACCACGGTCTGGTTTAGTAAAGGGACGTTCACAAAATACACAAAATAATGTTGTTGCTCCAAAACCGATAATTGCTCATTGGCAAAATATTGTTACTTGTCTAAACGGCCACTTGAAGACCATGAGGGCCAATTATGTGAGTGAAATAAATAATTAAATCAGCCACAGCTGAAATGTGTTTGTTTTCATCTTCTTTTGTCTTTTTTCTCACAAACTTTGAACCGATCCAAAACTGCAGGTGCCTTCGTTGCTAATTTCTAAAGTGTTCGGGCAGATATTTTCATTTATCAATGTTCAGCTGTTTAACAGGTAAATCTGCTATAGTTGCAACTGTCATGTCGCTATATAATACATATCCGCTTATGTTTTTCCCGTTGAATCAATTGTGCAGCCTTCTTTTAAGACGTGAATGCTGCTCGTTTAGCAATGGAGAGTATGTAAAAACAGGGCTTGCTGAGCTGGAAAAGTGGTGCCATGATGCAACGGAGGAGGTAATAGATGTTTCAAATCGTCACTGGAGTTTTCAGACAGTTAGCTTATTAAAGATGCATTTCTGTTTTGTTCTAGTTTGTTGGTTCGGCTTGGGATGAACTAAAGCACATCAGACAAGCTGTTGGTTTCTTGGTTATACATCAGAAACCTAAGAAGAGCTTAAAAGAGATAACTACCGAACTTTGTCCGGTTAGTTCAAATTATCTTTTGAATTTGTCTCTTCATTTGTTCGTCTCATGTAAATCTAACGAAATTTCTTATTTCTCTGCAGGTGCTTAGCATTCAGCAACTGTACAGGATCAGTACAATGTATTGGGACGACAAATACGGTACACATAGCGTATCTTCACAGGCAAGTGAATATTTTCCACTCTTGCTTTAACTTTCATGTGATTGATAGACCCGCTCGAGCAAACCGTTAACAGTAGTCTTATCCTGAGCCATGTTTTAAGAAAATCCAACATTATTTTGACTTAAAAATCTGAAATTGAAATAGATATGTTCTTTTAAAAAATCGCTTGACACAAGAATGGTGATGCAGGTGATAGCAACCATGCGGGCCGAGGTGTCAGATGTATCAAATAGCGCGATCAGCAATTCATTTTTACTAGACGACGATTCGAGGTAAACCCTTGAAAGAAAGGAAAAAAAAAACACTAACAAAACAAATCAGTGTAGAAGAATGATCTTTTGATAAAAATTACATGTCTTGGTGATTGTTTTTTGCAGCATCCCATTCTCGCTTGACGATATCTCGAAATCGATGCAAAACGTAGAGGTTGCAGAGGTTGATCCTCCTCCGTTGATTCGCCAAAACTCCAACTTCATGTTCTTGTTGGAAAGGTCAGATTGAAGTTTGAGACAGAAGTGATCAAAATTTCCTTCACCTGATTGATCTCTAGGACATTTTCATATTAGGGGATCAGTATTGTGCTTTAAATTACAAAGCCTGTACATTACAGTACATAGGCCCTATCTTTGCCAGTGGCTTTCTGGTACTATTCTACTATTAATAGGGGTATAATGGGTAGGAAAACTATATTTGTGAGCTAAATATTTGTTGTGGCCAGGCTTTAAGAGGCCATTTGCTTAATGAATTTTCCTCTGTTTATCATTTTTTAAATTATATTAGTAATGTTTCTGCGCATTTGGAAACATATTTGAGTTACTACTGTTCATTAGGCTGATTTTGTTATTTGATCACGTGACTCTTTATACTGCTAGAAGCCAGTAAAATTTGGTCATGAATGCATTAGAGGTCACTAAGAGTAACGTAGGCACTGCAGCGGTTAGCTTTGGGTTTACAAAGGCTAAGGCTGCTGCAATTGCTCATGCGGTTGAGGGTTTGACCACTTGCAATGGCCTCACAGCTACAGCGTGTTTGGACGCTTGTTGATGTGGTGAGCCAAAGGCTTATGGTTCAAGGAAGCAGAGGTTTGGTCAATGCATCGAGATGTAAATATATTAATGCGTTTGATGCATTTAGTAAGATCATTTCTGCTGATGGACCAAAGGGACTGTACAGAGGATTTGGGATATCTATTTTGACTTATGCCCAGTCTAATGCGCTCTGGTGGGCTTCCTACTCTGTTGCACAACGAATGGTTTAGAGTGGAGCTTGGTGTTATGTTTGCAAGCCAACAACGAGAATGGGAACAATAGGGTGATTAAACCGGACTCCAAAGTGATAATGGCTTTTCAAGGGGTTAGTGCCGCCATTGCTGGTAGTGTCTCCACTTTGATTACAATCAAGACTAGACTGCAGGTTCTAGATGGGGAAGATAGTAATAGTAGTAGTAACAATAGGAAGTGCAGTCCGACTATTCGACAGACAGTTAGAAGCTTGGTCAGGGAAGGTGGTTGGATGGCTTGTTACAGAGGATTGGGACCAAGATGCGCTTCTATGTCGATGTCTGCTACAACTACGATCACTACTTAGGAGTTCTTGAAGCGTCTTTCTGCAAAGAACCATGACATGTCTTACTCTAAATCATAGTGACAACTGACAACAAACATGTCAGTTGGTTTATAACCTTTAACTGGCCTTCTGACCGGAATAATATAGGCAACATTGTAATGCTGTGTATGAATCTGGTTTAGGTTTACTAACTATGAATAAGCAAAGAGCAGAGACTTAACAGTATTTACATTTACATTTACATTTAACACTCCAATCCAATCACTGACTTAACACACAATGATCCATGGTACAAACGACAGACGAGAAGTAAAGAGTTGAAGCTTGAAGGTTTTGGTCATTCAAATGATATCTTGACAAAGCGTGTGAAGTAAGAACTAGCGAAGTAGCGAGGTAGCAGCCAAGGATGACTTCCCTTTTTTTGTGGGAAAATACACATCACCAAATTCCACTGTCTCAGATATGGACAGAGAAATGATGAGTGTTCCCACCTCCATGCATGTCATTTGATTGACGATGAACATACATTGTTGGGTTTGTCTGAGATGGGTGATCTGATATCTGAAATTCAGTGTGTCCAAAGAGATCAACGCCGTCAGAAGCAGAGGTGATGTCAGAGCCAGAAGTGGTTGAACAACCACGGTCCTTGCTGGTCTGCAGCTGGTGAGCCACGAATCTTGACATGTTTCCCTTTGCCTGTTGCTGTTGGATTGGCATGTCTTGTTTTGGGTCTGTAGATTCTTGAAGTTTTTTGGTGTTTAGGAATCTTCCACCAGATCCTCTAGGTCGTTTAAGAGCGTGAACATGTCGAGATTCATGAAGATACGGCTGTATGATATTTGATGATGATTTCTGTTTAGCTATTAAACCAAAATGAGATACTGAAACGCTGTCCGAGATACTATACCTTACGGGCTCTTATTAATTTGTTTTGCGCCTCTAGCTTTGCACGTTGTTGCCTCCTCCTCATAATTGCATGGAATTGCTTTGCATTGACAAAGACAGGCTCATTTTCTATGAGGTGGAATGGTAGTGGAACTCGACTCACCATTTGGGGATTCCATATCTGCAGAAAGTTTTTAAGCAAACTGAAATCTCAAATGGAGAAATAAACTGCAAGACAAATCCACCATTTAAGAATGGCATTTCTTCCTATCGCTGTATGTAACTGCTTGAGAGCACAATGTCACATTGCAAGTTCAGCTTAAGCAAATAGAGGTTTAGCATAAAAGCCTCTTCATCGCATGTAATCAAGGAGGATGTACTTACTGTTGCCTGTTGTAGGTAAGCCGCAGGCATTACACCACCAAAATGTGGATCGGCATAGTGAAATGAGAAGTTAGCCTAAAACCAGAGTATAAGACAAGATGTCAGTCAACAATCACAAGTAGTGCTTATCGTCACTGGTGGTAGATTTACGGGTACCTTGGAAGGAGAAAAGTGAATATCAGCGATTCCTGCCGTGGAGGAGCCTGATTTAATATGATTTGCAAATTGCTTCCTTTGAGTTTCTTCAAATCCTTTAAAAATATCTGAATAAAAGAGAGAGAAAGATTATATATTCAGGACAAAAGGGATGGATTCTTTGGTAAATGGGAACAAAAGATAAACCAAAGAAGAATCTAAACATTATGCGTTTTAAACATATGGTGTTGTCTTTTCAACACATGTTCTCGACTAGAAGCCAAATATGTTTAAAACAGACCAGAATGTGCTGAAAATGAGATATGTCTGGAGGGGTCATCATCTCCACTAGTAGCAACATGGGTAGAAGATTGAGCAGTGGACAGAGTTGAAGATGAATCCTGGTCCTGGAAACTGAAATTATTTGTGTTTAAAAGACGTTCTGGTCTTGCATCTACCTTCAAACGCATCAGTGATTGAGTCACAGCAGAACCGCCGACATTCGATTCGGTTGAAAGTCCCCATGAGATGGAAGTGTTAAGGAAGGATGGAGTTGAATGTGCCGCAGAATCTTTCTTTTCCATGTGACTCAGAGGCAAACAATTAGCTCTCTCTGCTTCAAATTCAGGAAATTTATATAATAAATGGATAACACTTTCAAAAGACATATATTTATTCCTGGAACAGCAAAACCCTGGGGATAATCCAAAAGGGGAAAAACCCAGAAACAGAGCAAATTATCAAATGATAAGGAAACTAACCCTAATTCACAACTATTTTTGGGGAAACAAACAATTAGAAGAGCGCAACAGATTTGCCGGGAAAGTAAAGTTCCGACCAAACGAAAACCCGCGCCACCATTATTACTTTCTTCGTCCTAAAAGCCGGGTAGAATTTTCCAGAATATTTCGAATCAGCACATCACTTAATTAGACCAAAAAAAAAATATCGAAGGAGATAGAGAGAGACCTTACGGATTCAAGGAAGAGATGGAGAACCGTAACTCAGCATGCCTTTCTACATCATCAAAACAAGTTAAATCTTTTTTTCTCTTTTGCTTATTCTCTCAGATAGATTCCCCAACAGCGTGAGTGTGTGTGTGTGTATAAGTCTTGTGATGCTTCGTTTCCGTCTCTCACAATTTTCTCTCTCAAGTCTTTTACCTTTCCAACAAAATCACCAGCTCCATTATTATTCGCAGCACCACCACCGAAACCTTCATTTAGTTTCTCTAATGCTCTCAATTAACTTCAATTTATTAAATTAGTTTTCTAATCTTATTGTTGACTTTACACACTTATCTAGTTATCTGCTTATCCACTTTGTAAAGAAAAACTACCCAAAAAAGTTTCCCCAAATCTGCCTACTCTTTGTGTTATGGACAATATCTTGAAGCTTTCTTTTTTGAATACAGTGGCTCAGTTCCAAACTGTGATGTGAGCAGGCCAAGGGAGGCTTGAAATGTAGTAAGTCTGTTACTACCTGGTAAACTACAGGAGCTTGAGGATGCTGTTGGTGACCGGTGATTGAAACATTTCTGGTTTGAATCTTGAGTTTCACTTCAAAACACGCAGGACCAAAATCACAAGAACAGCCACCAGCGTGATGCCTAGAAGCATGAGCGCATGAGTGATCTTGGGAATGCGGATGATTTGGCGACTTCTTGTGGCTTCGTTTTTCAGTACATAATTCTGCATCTCGGTTTCTTGGCTGCACCTACAAAAGCAAGGAGATGATGAAAAGGGGACTACATCAATCATAGAAGAGACAGATCAAGATCCAAGTATACACCTCTTTGGTTGGTGTGTCCTTAAAATGTTCTACACAACCAGCTTCTAGGGAATCACAGCCGTGTGCATCCAGAAATTGGAGAGACGTGGGGATTCTTTCCACTGATTTGAGTTTCTTGCAGTTATTAAGGCAAAGTGTTACCAATGAGGTAAGATCTCTGATGCTTGGTGGCAATGTCTCAAAATCATGGCTGCTCATGACTAAGCTGATCTGACAATGATTCAACACTCTTGCAGTTTTCAAGGCAAAGCTCAAGTAAACAGTATCTTCCCTCATCTTGACTTGTGTCAGATAGTTTCGCCAATGATCTAAGGTTCCTACAGTTGGTAAGTGTCAGTGTCTGCACCTGAGTTAGCTTTGGCAACTCCTCGAGTTTGAAGCAGTTTCGAAGCCAGAGAGTTTTCAACCGGGAAAGGCTGTTCATAGCTTCTGGTAAGTTCTCAAAATCATTTCCGCTGAGGTCCAGCTTCTCTAGTAACTCCAAGTGACAAATCCCAGATGGGATTCTCCGGATGTTTAAGTTCACTAGTTTAAGCTCTTTCAGGTCGGGAAAATCTGGAAAGATGTCAAAGGAGAAAGATTCACCGTTTTCTTTGTGGCTGAACCTCATGATGCTGAGGGAATTGAATCTATTGCACTCTGAGATGACCCAAGGTGCTTGTTGCAGAATCATCGTCGATATAACAGGTATATGTTGCTCAGAATTGAAAGAGACGTATTCAGCATATCCTCTAAATTTTGAGCAAAACTCAAAACTAATGTCTCCACCAATCGATATGTTTATAAGTGCATCCATTTTCACTTTTGCGTCTGGGAACTCCAATCCAATATGTTGCTGCCTTGTCGATTTTCGTAAAAAAAAACGCAGGGCACTTCTACGCAGTACGCCCACCACGGTAGGATAGCTTAAGCTTCTTTAGGGTAGACCTTTTTCCAATACACTCTGGAATGCCATCCAGTCTCGTGCATTGTTCCAGAAGCAATTCCTCAAGACTCGTGATACTTGAAAGATCTGGAAGTTGCTTGAGATACTTAGATCCCGTCACATCTAGTCTCTTCAAACTCTTCAACATCTAAGAAAGACACAACAACACAGGGAAATCAGAAATGGTTGGAAATATGTTTCTTGCAAGGATTCCAGGTTTTCACATCATTGCTCTATCAAAAACACAAACACAAGCTGCAGAATCATAGGTAAGATTTACCGGTGTTCCACTCCTGAGAGTTTCTAAATCACTGTGACGCAGATTGAGTTCAACAAGAAAACATGGATCAGAGCCGGAAGGCAGGGCTCTCAATGGAAATGCATCCCAATGGAATAGCCGTAGGCTACGAGGCAGGAACTGTTGGTCTGGAATGAGTTGCAGCTTCGACTCTCTGTAATCTACATGCTTGTAAACCTTGAGAAACTTGAGATTATGCATACGGCCAACAACACTGGCCTCCATGGACAACACACAGGTCAACTCACACGTGTGTAGGCACATGCATTCAGTTTGTTCTCCTCCCTGATGATAGAAGACAAAAGAAACACAAAGCCAGAAACCCGTCAGGTCTCAGGGTGTAGGGAAATTTAAAAGAATAGGTCAAAGAATGATATATAGGTGCTTACGTCTCTGAAAGCCAAGGCATCAGGAATTTCCATAGGATCCCTGAGGAATTTTCGAGCCAAAGACATATTGTCGCGGATAATTTCTCTACCCATTTGTTCTACCAACTTGTGCATGATTACAGATCCATTAGTTGATATTTTGATGAAAGATTTCTCTGCTAAAACTCTTATCCACAGGCTACTCTGAGGTATGGGGCCATGAAGAAGGGAAGTGATACGCTGGAGAGTGTCTCCATTGAAGAGACAGACAACATGAAGGAATACATTCTGATGTGGTTTTGGTAAGCCCTCGTAGCTGATTTTCAAGATTTCCATTATATTCTCGTCAAGACTGCTTTCAAGTGCACTCAATGCTTCTTCCCACCCATCAGGAGTCGCGGTCCTTCCACGGAGAAATAAGGCATAAGCTTGAATGGCAGAAGGAAGCCCGTGAGCAAGCCGAGAAGCTCGGATTGAGAGTTGCTCAAAACTATCAGGAGGAAGTCCTCCTTCAAAAGCAATCTGTTTAAACATGTGGAGGGCATCCTTATCATCCAAGCACTTAACCTCATAAACGATTTCTACTCCACAGGTATTGAGCAAGCCCATATCTCGAGTAGTTATGATAATTCGGCTCCCAGGACCAAACCAGTTTTTATCTTTTGCCAAAGCATGCACCTGTGACACTTTATCCACACCGTCAAGCACAAGAAAAACCCTCTGATTCCCAAGTCTCTTCTTTATCTCTTGGCATCCAGCTTCCACGCTCCATAACCTAATATCATCACAGAGGATATTGCAGAGCATTTCTTTTTGCAAATGCTTTAGATCATGGCCAATATCTTTACTAACACTCTTAATGTTTTCTGTGAAACAATGAGCTGGAAATTTAGGTGAAAGCTGGTCATAGAGACACTTAGCAATGGAGGTTTTCCCAATTCCTCCCATTCCCCAGATTCCTACCATGAGAACCTCATTGGATTCCAGATCCAAGCGATGATTAAGACCTTCCATGTGAGCTTTCATCCCAACAATATTGCCAGAGTCTATTTTATGCAACAATGTCACACGTCTTGAAATATCTCTGGCAATTTCTCCAACCATTATAGCCTCATCAACGCTAAAAATATTAAAAAGGAACACGAATACAATTCAACTTTCCAATGCTAATTGCTAACAAATGAGATATTTGTGTAAACAAGAAAAAAAGAGCTTACCAGTGGCTTGAAACCACGCCTGAAAGATTGGCGATTAGGTTAAGAGCTTCTCTCCACCTGAGAACCTTATCCGCCATTTCAGGACCTTGATACTTTTCTAAAGCGAAACTTCCTAGCTGATGCCTCACCACGGAAGGATCTACTCCATAGAAGATGGGAAATACTTCAAGTCTTCCCTCTTTCATAAGCTCCATTATCAGTTGAAGTTCCAATAAGCACCACCTGGAAGTAGCGTAGTTCTCGGAGAGAACCACAACAGCGAAACTCGAACTCCCTAGTGCTCTGCGGAGTTCATCAGAAATGTGATCTCCTATCTCAAGCCTTTGGTCGTCTTTGAAAGTAACAATTCCTCTGCTATCAAGTGCTGCGTATAAATGACTAACGATTGTTTTTCGGGTGTCTTCTCCTCGGAAGCTGAGGAAGACGTCGTACTTCGATACACGAGGTGCAGAGGAGGACGCCATTGTTGAAAATCAAGGTCGTTCTCTGGAGTTTTATACATTAAGGACGACTTGTTGAACAACTTCATCTTCTTTTCTTTTCGGGGAAATTGCATAAGTAGGAAAATGTGCTCATTCAAATCTAGTGGTTGACGGACTTTACAGTGACAAGTCAACGCAACAATGGCCTGGTACTCCTTATCTTTATTTCCTTCAAATGGTATCATTTTACAATTCACACACAGAAAACAAAAGAAGAATATACTTTGTAATCTGTATTTAGTTTCTGCTAAAACAAAAAAAAGTGAATGTCTTCTTCTTATTCTTTTTTGTTGGCCGGAAGAGAGTTGGATGTGTTCTTGAGTTTCAGCGGTAAGATAGCTCTTGACGTTAATTTCGGCTATGATTTGTCTCGGAATGGCATCAAAGCTTTTAAATCAGAAAGCTGGAAGGAGAGTAGCTTCAAACCAATTGATCAACGAACACTTGAAGCTTTGACAGAGTCCAAAGTTGCAGTTGTCATGACGTCTGATGAAGAAGCTTCTTCAGTTGGGTTCCTTGAAGAGCTCATTGTAATTGTTGAGTTTCAAGAGAAACGTTCACTCACTGTCATACCAATCTTCCTCACAAAACACCCTTTGGATGTGGAACAAGTCTCTCAGATATTTCCGGAGAGGGCCATAATTTGGAGGACTGCAATTGCCAAACTGGACATCATAGCTGCACAGTACTCGTTTTCTCGGAATCTTGCGGTGATGCACGGAACACACCGGATCAAGCAAATTGCTGATGACATTAGGCTTATGTTTCTGTCCTCTGCATCAAGCGATTTCAAAGGCCTTGCAGGAATGGATCGTCACATGAAAGCATTTTATGCGTTGTTGGCTTTGGAATCTGACAAAGAGGTTCGTACCGTTGGCATTTGGGGTAGTGCAGGTGTGGGGAAGAAAACGCTTGCAAGGTACACTTATGCAGAGATCTCTGTTAAATTTCAGGCGCATGTTTTCCTCGAAAACGTGAACCGTCGGAAAACTTTGAAGGGGAACATCTTACAAATTTGGATCACGAGATGAATGAAATGGCCGAAGCAAAGAAAAAACACCGGAAAGTTCTTTTGATAGCTGATGGTGTGAATAACATTGAACAAGGGAAGTGGATCGCTGAGTACGCCAACTGGTTTGCTCCAGGAAGCAGAGTCATTCTAATCGCTCAAGAAAAAAGTTTGCTTGTGGAATCTGGAGTGAATCATGTGTATGAAGTTGGTTCTTTAAGATATGATGAAGCTCTCCAACTCTTCTCACGTTTTGCTTTCACGCAGTCATATCCTCCTCCTGATTTCGAACGCCTCTCGGTTCGTGCTGTCCAGCTTGCAGGGTTTCTTCCTGTGGCCATTAGACTGTTTGGTTCGTTTTTAAATGGTAGAGATAAAGAGGAATGGGAAGCTACACTGCTTAAACTCAATGCAAAGCAAGGTAAAGACATAACGGAAGTGTGGAAGATTATGGAGGCATTAGAAGATAAAGATATCGTGGAAGCATCAGAAACATAAACACCTACATACAAGTATGAGGAATCACCTGTATAGTTTACTATTCTTCCAACAAATGATAGCCAGAAAAATAAATTGATAATTTAAAAACATTGCCAATGTAAAATATATCATTTATTTTTCTGGTATAGACGTGGAGAAATTAAGAAATTAAGTAATAGCCGAGATATGTAGATCTTGAAAAAAATATTTTTATCAATAAAAATAAGTATACAAGCATTGGATTTGGCGTCTTCCTACTAAAACTCCTATTGTGTACCTTTCATAAACCAATCTTCACGATCGATGCATTTATCGTCTTAACTGAAATCGTTAGCATTCTTCGAGGTTAAAACTGTCTGCATAAGATAAATCCGTTATGACCTCATGATGAAACATTCAATCCTTGGCTAAGTCCTCATGATGAAAGTCACTTAGAAGTTTTTTAGGTCCTCCTCCACGTTACCAATGACAACTCATAATAAAGAATAAATAGTAATATCTTTACGTAGAACCAGGCCCGGCCCACGACCCATTTTTAAGAAACATGGGTATTGGGCCTCCAGATTTTTTAAATTTTTTAGTATCAAAATTAGGCCTCAAATATACTTGTTATTGCAAATAATAGGCCTCATTTTTAAGAAATTTTCAGATTTAGTCTCAACTTATAAATTTATCTACAGTTTTTCCGTTTGCTCAGCATCAAAACTATTCAACCATCACTGACCGTTTATTCCGTGCAGTAGTCTAGGATTGCACGTTTACTATATTAGAAAAGGTCTCAACGGTGAAATATATATATATATATATATATATAAAGATTTATACAAATAGAATTGGAGTTACATCATCTGATGACTGATCATCAAAGCATTAACACGTACGTAGATCGCCAATTCGAATATTGATGGAATAAGCGATATGTAGATGTTATTCTTTGTACCCTTTCAGTTTCATGACTTTTCAAAACCTTTTCTTGGTAAATTTTCAACATTTTCTTGGAAATTTTATATCTCTTCTTTTCGATAAATTGCGCTCTTCAAGCCATCTATCATCATCTTCCAAAGTTTGAAAGTAAAAAAAAAAAAAAAACCCATGTTTAATTTTGATTCAACCCAATGTATTCATCGTCTTCTTCTTCAACTACTCCACAAAAGTTCGATGTCTTTCTGAGTTTCAGAGGCAAGGACACTCGCAGGACCTTCATCAGCTTTCTTTACAAAGAACTCATTGGAATGAGTATTCGAACTTTCAAAGACGACGTCGAACTCAAGAGTGGCCGTCGGATTGCTTCTGATCTCCTCATGGCTATCGAAAATTCCAAAATCGCCGTTGTGATTGTCTCAAAGAATTATCCTGCGTCTCCCTGGTGTCTCCAAGAGCTAGAGATGATCATGGATGTCGAAAAGAAGGGTTCCCTCATCGTTATGCCTATCTTTTACAACGTCGAGCCTGCTCATGTGAGGCGACAAATCGAAAAGGTCGCTCAACAGTTTAGGAAACATGAAAATAGGGAAAATTATGAGACTGTGGTATCATGGAGACAAGCTCTGACCAATTTGGCCAGTATCTCCGGCCATTGTTCTCGTGATTGGTACTTTCATATCTTTGTTTTATTATCGTTATTATTAGAATCCTAGGTGATTTTTTGTTGAATCAATTCGTTTTATTTTCCTCTGTTTTAGTGAAGATGACTCCAAGCTACTCGACGAGATCACCAAGAGAATTACTGACATGTTGTTATTCTCTGCAACACCACCAAGTCATAGCATCAGTAACCAATTTGGATTTGATGCACACATGAAAGAGTTGTATCCATTGTTAGAATTGACTTCTAATGAAGGTGTGAGAGTGATTGGAATTTGGGCAAGAGGAGGTAATGGAAGATCAGCTCTAGCTAGATATGTTTATCAAAAGATCTTTAAGAAATTCCAAAGTCATTGTTTTCTCGAAAACGTCAAAGGGATTCCTCACGATTGTCAAATGTCCAATCTAAGAGACGAGTTTCTTATCAGGATTCAAGGAGGGTACTCGAAGATGAAGACCTCAGGGTTGATCAAAACAAGGCTCATGAGTCAGAAAGTACTACTTGTAGCTAACAATGTCGACAAACTCGAACAGTTGGATGCTCTTTCAGAAGATTTTAACTGTTTTGGTCCAGGTAGCCTAGTGATCATAACTACACAAGACAAACAACTTCTTCTTGCGTTTGGGATAAAAGTTGTGTATGAAGTTGAGTGCTTGAGATGCTTTGAAGTTCGTCAACTGTTTCGTCAAATCGGCTTTAGAGAGAGAGATCTTTATGTTGGTTCCGAGTTGTCTTCGCCTATATCAGGGACTGAATCTTCTTGAATCGTAACTCTGTTTCTGGTGCTGGAATAACCCTTAGAACCACTGTATAGAGGTAAGCTTATTATATCTAAGACTTAGGATGATTTAGCTTAGGATTAAGGATTGTTTGTTTAGTTACTGGTACAAAGAAGTATATCTCCAATAACAATATATGTACAAAGCCACGAAAAGCTATGTTTTTTTTTTTTTGGTCTTTGAGCTCATCTGTCCCTTATTTTGTCTCTGTTTGTCTCAGTGTCTCTGTAATTACCTCTTCAGAGAATCCAGCTATGTTAGTTCTTTGAAAGAGGACTAGTGGAGGATAATAACTTGCTGTCCAAGAATCGAGGGCTTGTATACTTCACTCTGTAGTTGCTCTGTTTTAGGAATTTCTTGATTCACAAGTAGTTTATTCAATTTAGAAAGTTATTTTCTGTGCCTTTCTTTATTTATGTTTTTGAAAATTTAAACGCTAATGTGTAGATATCGACAGAGAAGCCAGATCGAAGGGGATAAAATAGGGAGATTTCTTTCAAACAATCTATGTGCGTAATCAATTGTGTAAACTCTTTAGGCAATCTCTCTGGTTGCTTGCAGGAGAAGTTATAAAGGAATGAACCTGGGCCATTCTCTTTCTTACATTGGGGAAATCTTGTTGTCTATGTTAATTATTATGTAATAAAGAAGCCCAATTCAGACAGTTGAATATGTGCGGGTGTTACCCATCTTCCACGTTCCACCACCGGCCGGTTTTATGCGGCTTGTCGTTATATCATTTTTTCGTTGCTCACATTGTCTCGTTTTTATTTATTTATCTTCTAAAATTCAAAACACCACGGCCATGAAAGTTTTCTTACTTTTCTTTTTTTCTGGCATTTCATAATCGTAATATTAAAGGAAGAGATCAGTCACAACTCACACGCATATGCAATGTTATTCTATTTGCTCCATTCTAAACATATACGATGAGAAATGCTTTTTGTGCTGTAAATTATTAGTATATTTTCGTTGTCTAGTTTAAAGGAACTATTTACTTATCACGTATTTGCATTTATCTAAACAAATCCAAAATTTTATATATTCAAATAACACTCTTTTAACATTGCTTGATCCTATAAATTAGCTAGTTTAGGTCAAGATTTAAAATGGAAAGCGACTAAGCATCAGCTAGCTATTTTGTTTAATTGGAAAGGTATTATCATCTATCCTTGCTTCAATACAAAGTAAAATGTTTGGTGCAAGATTTCACGTTTGAGCTCACAAATATCAATTATGTTTTCTAACTTTTCTAAACAAAGCTTTAATTTTCTTTTAGCCAACTGGAAATATTTTATTAATAAATTGGTATATAAGAACAAGATTAAGATGAATTGATTAAACATAGTTATCACATTTTCTCCCAAAAAATGCTTAGCAAATAACAACTGGAGTCTCGTGACTTATATGCACCGTTTACTCTACACGCGCTGTTGTGATCGCGTCGTGTAAGCTCTAGTTCCGCGTTGAGCTGTCACTCTCTGTGTCGGTCCTCTTCGCTTCCTCTCTCCTTCTCCACTAATTTTCACTAATTAATAAAACTAATCAACCATTAAAGAGATGCTCAAATCTCCACTGTAATAAATCATAATCTCTTGTATAAAGAAGACACACATCTCCTAAATCTTACCCTTATTATTATTCTCTCTAATCAAGTCTTCTTCTTCTCTCTCAATCTCAATCTCCGATTATGACAGACGACAGAGTTTACCCTGCTTCAAAACCTCCCGCCATCGTCGGCGGCGGAGGTGGCGCAACCACAAATCCTACTTTTCCAGCGAACAAAGCTCAGCTCTACAACGCAAATCGTCCCGCTTACCGTCCACCAGCTGGTCGTCGCCGTAGTAGCCATAGCCGTGGATGTTGCTGCCGTTGCTGTTGCTGGACGATTTTCGTTATCATCCTCTTAATCCTCATCGCCGCCGCCGCATCAGCCGTCGTTTACCTAATCTACCGTCCTCAACGGCCGAGCTTCACCGTCTCTGAACTCAAAATTTCCACTCTCAATTTCACATCCGCCACTCACCTCACTACCGCCATTTCCCTCTCCGTCATCGCCAGAAACCCTAACAAAAACGTCGGGTTCAGCTACGACGCCACCGACATCACACTCTACAAAGTATCCACCGGAGGAGATGATGATGTAGTCATCGGTAAAGGAACGATCTCGTCGTTTGTTCACGGGAAGAAGAACACCACTACGCTTAGATCTACGATCGGAAGTCCTCCCGAAGATCCCGATGAGATATCGGCGGGTAAGCTTAAAGGAGATCTGAAGGCGAAGAAAGCAGTAGCGATTAAGATTGTTTTGAATTCCAAGGTGAAAGTGAAGATGGGATCTCTGAAAACTCCTAAGTCAGGAATTAGGGTTACTTGTGAAGGGATTAAAGTGGTGGCTCCGACGGGAAAGAAGGCGACGACGGCTACTACCTCCGCCGCTAAGTGTAAGGTTGATCCAAGATTTAAGATCTGGAAAATTACTTTCTAAATATAGAAAACATATAATGGAATCACATTCTTAGTTTTCTTCTTTCTTCTTTTAACTTTTTTTTTTTTTTTTTTTTTTTTTTTTATTAATCCATTTGTTTCAATTTTCGTTTCGTTTTAAATTTGATTTCATATACAGTTCTTTGATTCCTGTAAGACTTTATTTTTTTGGTTTTATGTAAATGAAGATATATTTGTGTTCGGTCTGGAATTTCATTGTTTGTGATTATTCAAGAAGAACAGTTTTAGTTAACAGATGATCTAGGGGGTGGCGAAAAAAAAGAGAGAGAATAAAACGCAACGCAACTGTTACTTAACTAATCACTAATAATAATCAGGGTAATAATTCAAGTGAGGTGACAACTACTAACTATTACAATTTACAAGTGCTTTGGTCAATTAATCTTTAAATAGACAAATTAGGGTGGCTACTTTTATTTCTTTGTTTTAGTATCGAATAATTAAGCTAACCATGTGGTCCATATGTGTATGAGAATATATACACATAACATACCCTAAGAAACTTATCAATTATTTATTACAGAACCATTTGATTTACATATAATTGGTGTGTGTTATTAGTCTCCGGGTGTGTTGGCAAGTGACAAAAAATCTTTGGGTCTTGTGATTAATTAATTAATTAAGTGTGGGTGCGAAGTTACGTCCCCTTAAGGTCTAGAAGGTGTCGGTGAAATGAATTCAACTTTAACGAGAAAAAGCAAAGCTACAATGATTCAAAATCAGGTGTTATGTAATTATCAACATATAATAAAAAGAGATTAGGTGTTATGGTTATGGTGTCAAGACGACTTCTAACATGTGGTGGAATTTGTTTGTTTTCCGACGAAATAATAAAACTCAAGTAGGAGAGATTTGGTTAGTTTAAATCAGTTAAGAATAATACTATTCTCATTAAAAAAAAAAAAAAACAAATCGAGTAGACTAATACAAAATTTATAATGTGTGTGTTATGGATCAACCACATATATTATTAAAAGAATAGCTTAGGTTTATTAAAGAAAATGAAATTCACTTAGTTATAGGATTTCTGAGAGATGATATGGAGAACGTGAAATGGTTTGCGGCGCCGCTGTGATCTACTAGTCTGGAGGTAGAAGCAACTTCTCTTTACTTGGGCCATGTCGTGTCTCGACAACCTAAGCGATGAAGAAATCAGCTTTGAGAATGATTCAAGGAGCTTGATCCAAAGGCAATGCCGTGACCGTGAGATTGGGTGGGACTTTGGGGCTTCATGATTGAAGTGAATGACAAAAGAAAAGGTAGACTCCAAGTCTAAAACCCTAATGTCAATGGGGTCGGTAAGTGATTGGAATCAAAATGATAATGTTACAGAACCAAAGAAAAAAACATGTGACCACCACTTGTTATTAGTCACAGACAAAATGCCTTGGGTACAAAAACTACAAATCCTCATGTTAAACGTATTTAATAGCGGTTACCCTATTTTAATTGTTTTTTGTAAGGCTTCAAAGTTGTTGTTTTTTCTTGTTTAATCTTTTCCACTTGTACTTGATGGTTCACGCATCTTTGAGGCGAATTCGTCTTCAACAAATCCCTTGGCATCGTCGTAATGGTTGGTTCCACACTTGTCAATGTCAATACACATGGACATCTTCTCCCAATATCGTTTCAGTTTCCTCGTACTACTCCCTTACGACTAACAATGATCAATCCCTCTTCCATAACTTGGATCATCTTCTTCGATTATGCTTGACGGCTCAGCAATGCAAGCAAGTTCACGCCCAAGTACTTGTATCCGATTACATCTACCGTTCTGGGTCATTAGCTGCGAATTTCGTATCGGTTTACTCTCGGTTAGGACTCCTCCTCGATGCCCGTAACGTGTTTGAAACTGTTTCGCTTGTTCTGTGGTCGGATTTGCGTCTGTGGAACTCGATTCTAAAAGCTAATGTGTCTCATGGGTTATACGAGAATGCGTTTGAGCTTTACAGAGGAATGCGTGAACGAGGTCTCACAGGGGACGGGTTTATTCTGCCCTTGATCCTTCGAGCTTGTAGGTACTTAGGTCGTTTTGGTTTGTGTAGGGCTTTTCATAGTCAAGTTATTCAGATTGGTTTGAAAGAGAATCTTCATGTGGCTAACGAGTTGCTTACGTTGTATCCAAAGGCGGCAAGGATAGGAGATGCTTACAATCTGTTTGTTGAAATGCCTGTGAGAAACCGTATGTCATGGAATGTCATGATTAAAGGGTTTTCTCAAGAGTTTGACTGTGAAAGTGCTGTTAAGATTTTTGAATGGATGCAACGTGAAGATTTTAAACCAGATGAAGTGACTTGGACTTCACTTTTATCTTGTCATTCGCAATGTGGGAAGTTTGAAGATGTTATAAAGTATTTTCATGTTATGAGGATGAGTGCAAGTGCAGTTAGTGGCGAAGCTCTTGCTGTTTTCTTCTCCGTGTGTGCTGAATTAGGAGCATTAAGTATCGCTGACAAAGTTCATGGGTTTGTTATAAAAGGTGGGTTTGAAGAGTGTTTGCCCTCCAGGAACGCATTGATACACGTGTACGGGAAGCAAGGGAAAGTTAAAGATGCAGAACAGTTGTTCCGGCAAATAAGAAACAAAGGTATAGAGAGCTGGAATTCTTTGATTACATCGTTTGTGGATGCTGGTAAACTCGACGAGGCTCTTTCATTGTTTACTGAGTTGGAGGAAATGGATGATGTTTGTAATGTCAAGGCTAACGTTGTTACCTGGACCTCTGTTATCAAGGGTTGTAACGTTCAAGGAAGAGGAGACTATTCACTTGAATATTTCCGACGAATGCAGTTTTCCAAAGTATTGTCTAATTCAGTGACGATTTGTTGTATACTATCAATATGTGCGGAGCTTCCAGCTTTGAATCTCGGAAGGGAGATCCATGGGCATGTAATACGGACCTCAATGAGCGATAACATTCTGGTTCAGAATGCATTGGTGAATATGTACACAAAATGTGGGTTACTCAGAGAGGGGAGTCTAGTATTTGAAGCAATTAGGGATAAGGATTTGATCTCATGGAACTCGATAATCAAAGGTTATGGTATGCATGGGTTTGGTGAGAAAGCTCTAAGTATGTTCGATCGAATGATAAAATCTGGGTGTCATCCTGATGGGATCGCTTTGGTAGCTGTTCTTTCAGCCTGTAGTCATGCAGGGCTGGTTGAAAAGGGACGCAAAATTTTCTATTCGATGAGCAAGAGATTTGGATTAGAGCCCCAACAAGAGCACTATGCATGTATTGTTGATCTCCTTGGTCGTGTAGGGTTTCTGAAAGAAGCGAGTGAGATTGTGAAGAACATGCCTATGGAGCCCAAGGTCTGTGTGTTGGGAGCTCTGTTAAATTCTTGCCGGATGCATAAAAACATGGACATTGCAGAGATTATAGCATCACAACTTAGGGTTCTAGAACCGGAGAGGACAGGCAGCTATATGTTGCTTTCTAACATCTACTCTGCTGGTGGAAGATGGGAAGAATCTGCAAAGGTTAGGGCTTTAGCCAAGAAAAAGGATTTGAAGAAAGTTTCTGGAAGCAGTTGGATTGAATTGAAGAAGAAAATCTACAAATTCTCGTCAGGATCAATAGTACAGAGTGAGTTTGCGAGCATCTACCCGGTTCTTGAGGATTTGGTTAGTCATATGGTGAAAGAAGGCCCTACACATGATGGGAACAATGACGAGGATGATCTAGACTCATGGACAGCGTAAGAGATGAGTATATCCCACAGACTGAGATGATGCACAACAAACAAAACCAAACTTATAGAACCTATCAGGTAAGCTTGCTCGTGACCATTCAAACTAGCATTGACCAATTACCAAATCAATCTTCAAATTAGAAGAGTGTTAGTCATGAAAAATCCGTAACCAGACTCTACTGCATAACTTGATGTTACAGGTTCTAATAATCCACGCGTCATCTTTGATGTTCAAGTTGATGGTAGTAGGAAAAGGAAAGCTCTTGCCTCTCCTGAGCTAGAGACCAACCCATGTCGAGCTGGTCTAGAACCAAGAGTTTTAGCATTGGAACGCTCAATCTGGCACTGATGACGACACACGACATAATTCTTTTAAGTCTTAACACCTTTGCCACAGTGTGGGTCACGATATCTTGTTGAGATTTTACTAGAATTGTTTAAGTTTAATAATATTCATACATACAAACTTTATGAAAGAATTTCAATAAAAATCATTATGTTTTGCCCTAAATAACACCTTTGTCGAAAAAAAACTTTTTTTCAAACAGGTCACTCTCACAACCGTTGAATGTGAAGAATTGGTGAAGCATCCCAAACTATTTCTTAACTTAACCGTTTCTTAAAACTATAAAGAAACAAAAAAAAAAAAACATCTTTTTACAAAAAGAAGAGTCTTTGCAAGAGCCGGACGTTCTTACTTTTGATAAGGATGGTATCGAGCTGGCCCAGAACCATTAGTCCCATTTCCTTTGCCACTACTTGAGCCGCTGTTTCCGTTTCCATGAACTTTTCCACCTCCATAAGCAGCAGCGGCAGCAACACCATAGCCACCACCCATATGGCTATAACCGCCAGCTCCATAGCCCATGTTGAACATTTGACCTCCATAGCCATAACCATAGCCATACCCACCACCGTAACCATAAAATCCAGCAGCGTTAAACATGGGATTCCCTGCGTAGGCTCCATAACCGCCATAACCACCATAACCCGAATACATATTGTAATCTTCATTAGCTTTCCCACCATAACAATCTTCCTGATCATACTTGCCACTAGCACCATAGGATCGAAAGCTGTTATCTCTCCCTGTTCTCTTTGGTTCGGCCCTTTTTATGTCCACCTATTGATCCATTATAAGTGCTTGAGATCACTATATTGAGTATTACTTTAGCTTAAATTCTAAAACAAAAGTAAAACAAGGTTTGCCTGTTTGTCACCGAGCTCGTGAACTTTTGCATCAGAGAAAAGTCTGTCAACAGAATCTTCAGTCTGAAAGGTTACAAAACCAAATCCCCTTGACCTTCCCGTGTGGTGGTCATACATGATCTGATGCTCAATTATGTCACCATATACACAGAAATAATTTTTCAGTTCATCTACAAATATAAGAAAACACATTATCAGAAATAGTAATAACCACAGACAAGAAGAGAAAACCTAGGAAAAACTTTTACCTTCTTCCAACAGTGGTGGAAGTCCACCAACAAAGATTTTCCTGGTCTTTGATACCGCTTTGATATCAGTATCCCTGTCCCCTCTAGGAACTGTCCTTTTCAGATCTACCTTCCGGTCATCTATTACATGCTCTTCCTCCAAAACTTTCTCTGCAACAGCTGAATCAGCAAAAGTGACAAACCCAAATCCCCTTGGATTTCCAGTTATTCTATCTGTCATGATTACAGAGTCGACAACTTCTCCAAACTTTCCAAAGTAATTCGCAAAAGTTTCTGAAAACAGTAAAGTGGAAGCAATGGAATCAACACAAATAAGAAAAAATAACCAAAAACAGAATCACAGTGACTTGACTCGTCTATTGCTCATTACAGTAGAAGACAAGGGATTTACCAAACTAGATACAAGATAAAAGACATATCATCTGTGATGCAGCTCAATTCAAGAAATAAATGGCATACATGACTAAGACGATGAAAATGAATCATTCATACCTTCAGTTGTTTCCCAAGAAACTCCACCTACGAATAGTTTCCTAACATAAACAAAAGACAAAAGGCACCACAAGAAACATGCCTCCATCAAATACCAAAACTAAAGCCAAACAGAGACAAAAAGTGTAAACCCTAAGAAACCACGAACCCAGGAGAAGACATGGATGAAGACGAATGACGATGCTCAATGGAATGCTTCATCTGAATCCCACCAGTATCAACGGCTGCACCACCGTTCCTCCGGTCATCAAAGGTCTCCACTTCATAATCCGACGGTTGTAATTGTTCAGAGTCATCATAACCACGATCTGAGTTATAATCCATGGATCACTGCAGCTGAATCAAAACCAAAACCTTTAATTTCTCCGTCTGCCGATGATGAAGCGAGTGAAAACCCAAACTTCAAAAATGAAACTTTTTTCTCCAATTCGATTACTTGATTCAAAGTTATGGCATCAAACATTCAAAACTTTCTTAACTTGCAATAGAAAGAACCCTAACCAAGATGGATGGCTGAAGTCGAAACGGCAACGAGCTCAGGCGAGTAAATTAACACTTAGGCACTGACAAATTTTTGAAACAAGATTCGGTATTATCAACTTATCATCAGAATATATGAAACGGCGCCGTATTCAACGATGGTCAAACAGTTCTTTTTGTTGCTTTTGTCAACATCAGGAGATCAAAGGTTGACTTGTGTTTGACACTTTTAACTGGTGGATCTCATATAAATTACTAACATTTACCGATTGACAGTTGTTTTAAAGATGACATCTTTCATACAAAAAAAAAAAAAAAAAACCATACTTTCACATTGAACAGATAAAAAAAGAACAAATCTTCAGCTAAGCTTCTCAGGATTTTGCAGCTTTCAGTGCTTCAATTACTGCTGAGAAATCTTCATCGCTCAACCCATAAGATTTTGCGACCTTGTAAAGCTCGTTCGCAGCGGCTGCAATCGGAGTAGATTGAGATACGGATTCCGCTAGTCCAAGTGCGAGTCTCATATCCTATACACGCATAAAAATCATTTACAGTCTCATCAAACTCGAGTCTTTGTGAAGATCTAAACAAGAAAATAACACAGTTACACAAACCTTCTGCTGGTGCTTTAATGGAAAAGCCGTCGGGTACACTGACTTGATCATTGAAGGACCCTTTAGTGAGTACATTGGCGCATTGATAGCTCCCTGTGAGACAACCTGCAGAATTTTTTTCCTGGGGTTTATAGCAGATTTGGTAAGAATATATTTCTGCTGGACAATGGTGTTTTGATTACCTCGACCAGTACATTTGGATCGAGTCCAACTTTCTGGCTTAGAAGTATTCCCTCCGCGAATGATGCCATCATGCTGCATAAGTATGAGAAAAGAGATCAGGAGAAGAATCTGGGATTTGCCAAGAAATGAAGCCATAGATGGTCAAATGATACCTTCCCATGATCATGTTGACGACAAGTTTCATTGCTGCTCCATTACCAACTTCACCCAAATAGAATCTTGACTGGATCATATAATCCATAGTGATGGAAATGGTTTATTTACAGAAGAAAAATGAAATAAAAGCAAACCACAAGCAAAAGAGACACCTTTCCCATGATGTCTAAGAAAGGAGCAGCTTTTTCGTATAGCAGCTTGTCACCTGAAATGTCAAGTGCCAGATAATCATAAATCTTCTTTTCATTCAACCATGTTACAAAACACAGGCAAGTCACCCGTGAAGCAAAAAAAACTGATATGTATGTGTGATGGTAGATTATTAATACAAGCTCAGTGAGGAGTAAGCTGTTACGAACCTGCTGTGAGGAATATTAACTGCCCATCTTCGGCAGGCTTTTTGGAACCTGAAACTGGTGCCTGTGAATATCAAAAATAGAATTAACTTAAGCCACCCGATCTGCTACAAGTTTTTTCAGTGATTCTAAAAATAGATTAATAGAGAGTCTTTACCTCCAAGAACAATGCTCCGGTATCCTTTATTTGCTTGCTGATTAAAATCGATGAGGCAGCATCAACGGTTGAGACATCAACATACCTGCACTAGCAAGGCAAGTCCCATTTTTACCAGAAAGTATCCACCAAATTACTATATTGATTCGAAGAAGAAATAGAAAAAGAACGACTGTGAATTCTGCTGTAGTTACACAAAAAATACAGATATCTTGAAACATTTCAACACAAGAACATTAATTCCAACATAGATCTCATGAAGGAGTAGGTACCCTTTTCCTGAACTAATTCCAAATACGGCTCCGTTCTTTCCACAGGCAACATCAATCTGACAGAAAGCAAAATACAGTTTCTGTTTTAATATGGAGTGAAAGAAGAAGAAGAGGAGATGCAAACCAAAGTGAGACATACGCACTGCACTTTCAGGATCAGCAAGCATTGCAAATGTGAGATCACAAGTTGCAGTCACTTCTTCAGGAGAAGACTTGTACCTGCAAAACAGAAGAAACTTTCTTAATCAGAGGTTTTTCTTATACGTTAGCTCTAAAAGCTCACTCGGAATAATCTTTATAAGAAGCAATGGAACTCTTACTTTGCTCCTAATCGAACGAGAGGATCACATTTGCTCTTAGATCGATTCCATACAGTCACATCACACCTAACAAGCTCAGAAAGATCAACGTACTTATCAATAATACATCAAAAAGAGGTAAAGTAGCAAAATTGATGAATTAGATTGTCTACACATAAAAGTCAAGACTTTTCTTACCCAGCTTTGATGAGGTTTTGTGCCATCGGAGAACCCATAATTCCCATACCAAGAAACCCAATGCTAACAGTTCCAAGTTCATCTGTGATACAAACCACAATTCCTCAGATCAAAAAGGATAAACAGATAAAATGGAGATTCTAGTATTCGCTCTCTTGCACAATTTCCTCCATTTAAACACAATTCATGGTTCTGGGAAACGATGCATGTGACAATTGAAAACAAAGCAAAGAATTACCTTTGGTAGAGGGAGTAGTAGATTGCAGGGAAGAGTAAACCCTATAAGAGAGACAAATTTGAGGTTTTGAGAGAAAAGGGGACTTGGGTTTTGGCCTGAATCGAAGAGGGATACGAGGGCAGAAGATAGAGCACAAAGCCATGGCTCTTGAAGAAGAAGCAGCAAAAGATAATGAAACCAAAAGGCATGGCCATTGGCCAGTGCGTTTGTTAAGTAGACTGTGGCCGAAATTCTCACATTTCGAGGCGGAAACTGATAGTTTTTTTTTTTGTTCTTTTTCTCTATGGACTGAGCAACAAAATCCACTGGCCTCTCATTGCATATGCCTTCGGTTTAAAGCTAATTTAGGAGCAGAGATAATTGTACCGGTCGGTTTACGTGCATTTATCCCTCATGATGCTTGTATTTGTACATTTTTATCAACACTGTTTTCTCGGAAATGTAAGATACCCTCATGCACGTTTGGACTTGGTTCAATTCAGATTAACCGAATTAATTTGATTCAAACCGAACCGAAAAAAATCGATTTGAAAACCGGGTAAAATGTACTAATGTGTCCGATGACTATAGAAAACGCATCCCTATGGAGGAAACTCTCTATACAGCACCAAAAAGAGGAGAACATAAAAAAGGATTCAGTTTCCCTGCTGAGCTCACGGCAGAGCAACCGCAGTTTCAATCACCAAATCATGTTCTGCAAGTTCGCAATCTTCCATCTTTATGCCTGAAAATCAACACAAGAGTGGAGAGCAAGATAATAAAAAGAAGATGAGCATGACGCTGAAAGATTGCGGAAATACTCAAAAAGGCCTATGGAGCAAGTAATTTAGATTTACTAATAAGCTTGAGGAGAGAGCGAGAGAGAGAGATGCTCACCAAAAGGAATCTTTCTTCTCCTGTTCCAGTAGCTCTTCGAAGGTGATGTCTGAAAATTCATCATCTGGCTTGTCTAACTCTATACTCGATTTGTTTTTGAGTTCCATGGAAGCGCTTATTTCAAGAACCTACAGCAGTATCAGAAAGAGTATTAACTGTAGATAAGCAAAAAAGAAACCAAAACCCCAAGAAAAGTCCCAATTATGCTAACAGAGTCCAATACAGGAGATAACACTGATAAGATCATAAGAACCTACTGGTTTATCAGACAGCAGCAATACTCAGTAAGATTAATCTAGAATCAGAAACATCATTGAACAGATTTTGATGTTTTGGACACAATCTACGAAAACAAGTGGTTGAGTTTGGTTTAACCTTTTTGTATGCAGGTGAAAGTTTTAGCTGTTGCTGGAGCCAATTATATACAAGTGCATCTTCTTCTACTCTTTTTTGTTCCATCTCTAGCTTATAGATCTAATGACACACAAACATTACAATTTACGTCAAAACCAACAGACAGAAAGAAATCAGACAATTATTGATGAAGCTAAGATTCACCTGTTGACGAAGTCGGTCAAAGGAAGATCTATCAGCCTTGAAGAGAAGGGCTTTTGTTATTGAAAACTTGCGCTTGATTACTTGTGACCTACAATAGAAACAAGCAGGCTTAAATCAGTGTCACCGGAGAAGAAAAGGCTAACTCAGACAAGCAGGGTAAACATAAATTGGAATCTATAACAACAAAGCATAGAGCAGGAAGCAGCTATTGTTATTCCTGTGTCCTCAAAATGTAGGAAGAAGTAAGAAAATGGATGAGAGATGACAGTATATGAAATTATGTGATGGTAGAGTTAAGTTACTTGTGCTGTAGTTCATTTTTGGCTTCTATCAAACAATTAGCAAACTCTCCAACCTGCAGAAGTGAAAGAAAAAAAAAACACAAAGAAACATCAGAATCTACAACTCAACTGGATTGAAAACATTAGTAATCCAAAGGCAAGATTGAAGTAAATCCATTCTGATATATTACAAGGAAGCAAGGTGATGGTAAAGAGTACTAAAATCCCCCAACTCAAAAGTCCTTTTGTTTAAGATGCTAATGAAGGAAATCAGAGGCTTAGTAGTCCAAGATTTCATTTCCATTTGTAGAGTTAAAACCTAAGGAAAAGAAGGAGACCTGAGCTAGTGTCAATCCTTTGGCATTATTGCATTTAACAAGCTGATCGTATTGCTGCTTAATCTTCCTCTGCGTAGCACTGCTCGTCGATGTAAAAGGGTACAAACAAACAAACTCTGGTTTCTTTTCCGATATCGAAATCGAGCCAGTCCTCGGATTCAAAACCACCCCATCTCCTTCGCCGAGCTGCTTTTCGCCGCTGGATTCATCTTCTCTTAGGTCTGATTTCTTCTTCTTACCTCGCTTCTTCTTCTTCTTCTTCGTCTTCTTTTTCACATGATCTCCTTCCCAATCCGAATCCTCTTTCTTATCGGAGAGCAGTAACTCGTAGAGTCGCGAATTCGTCAAATGGGTCGGGTCATTTTCATGGGTTTGGTACTGGGCTCCGTCGGATGGAGACGATTCTGGTTCGAGTTTGGTTTCGGATTCGGATAAGAGTTTCTGGCTGTACAAAGCAGCTCTGCTGCGGGAAGCTTTGAGGAGAAAGAAGATGGCGGAGACGAATGAGAGGAGGGCGAGAGTTAGTAGAGATAAGATGAGAAAGGAATACATGAGAGGGTTTAGTGTAATTTTGAGTTGTGTGAAATGCGGAGCCGCCATTAACGTGCTTCGTACATCACAGAGGGAAGAGAGAGAGAACAAAAAAAAATAAGATAAAAAGAGAAAGCGACGCCGAAAACTGCTTTTCTTAATATCTTTTTTTTTTTTTTTTGTCATCTGATTTTATATAAAAACATAGTTTGATACATTTTGAGATTACATACGCCGACGGAAATACTAAATATCCCCGGAAACCAAAGCCCAAAAGAGGGAAGCATAAGCCGGCGGACGACATAAATGTCCCCGGAAACTAGGCGAACTTAAAACACTGGAAATACAAAGCAAATATAGCAACCCGACAACGCAAAAGAACGAAACCATAAACTAAGAAAGAAGCAGAAGGTAAAAACCTTAAGAAAACCAATAGACAAAAGAATACAAGAAAACCACTTCTTCTAAAGCACCTGCGATTGAGATTTACCTAGGATGCCCGCGGCCAATCCTAAAATAATATCTACCTTCTCCTATCACGATGAGAGCTGATCTCTCGAAACCAAGAAACAAAGACTTCAGAACCCGGCAAGCAAAACCTATGAATTGAGAGAACCTCGAGCATGCTTCCGAATACGACTACGACGACTGCCACGTCCAACAATGTCTAACTAGAAATCATCAAAAGGCAAACCTATCTAAACAGAGTCGGGAAAGCAAGACAAGGAGAGAGGCCCAACCTCTCAAATATCACCAATCACAAGAATGAGAACGACGATGGATCGAGACGGTTGTCAAACACAGCGAACAACATCAGGGAGAAGAAGCATCTGCAAACATAAAGGTCTATCAATCCAAAACAAACAAACTAAACTTCTTCTTAGCAAGGTGACGAACCCAAAAGAATTCAATGGTTAAGACGAGTCGACCAGGAGCGGATAGAAGAGCAGAGTCTCGACAGAACCTGACTAGTACCCAAACATCACTCAACAAACGGCTTAGAGACTATCAACGCAAGAACGACGAGACTAGGGACGGAACAAGCAAAACCAAGGCATAATTCTTAGAGCAGCACCGTAGATCCTATACATCCAGAGCCAACAGTTTCGCAATAGCCACAAATCCCATAGACAAAGCCGCTCCAACCAAATCCGCAAATCACAAAATCAAACTCGAAGCAAATCCAAAGAATCCCCAAACGCAAGCCGGAAATACTCACTCAAACCAAAACAAACTAGCCTCAACTACTCAAAGGAGGAAGAGCAAGAAAAAAGCTTACCCGACCTGAAACAAACCTCACCGTGAAGACCTACAACGCTGATAAGCTAACCTCACCACCGATCCACCAGAAGAAGCCAAGGCGATGCAAGACAACAAAAAGACAAAGAACGACGGAGCAATACAGCCCCTCTCACAGTGACGGCGAGGAGCGCCACTCACCGGAGAGGGAGATCGGAATCAAATTTTCTGGGTTCTCACTTCTCAGAAGTGTCGGCGGCTGAAACCCTTTGAAGCTGTATCTATGAGACAGGATTTAATTTAAAATAAACAACATATTTGACTGCTTTTCTTAATATCTATCTTACGATATTTTTACAGAAAGTTTTTAACTTTTTTGGTCTTTAATTTCAGTAATTAATTTTGATTTAGCAAATACTATAACTTATTAGATCCTGGTTTGTGCTATATAACACGGAATTTAATATTTTTTATAAACTAAATTGTATATTTTGTTCGAAAAAAATAAGAAATAATATAGTATAATATTATAATATAAAAGTGAAGATAGCACAATATTTTATTTTTATTACTATTTGGATATAATGTTATATATTTTATTTGACTATGGTTGTATATTTTGTTTGTAAAATTAAATAATAGTATATGATAAATTTTAAATCTATATTCGGGAATTTTAAATTTATATTCTGTAAAATTAAACAATAGTATTTTATTGTAGGAATTAAATGTTGTTTAATCTTTACTTGGTTGAAAAACATGACTAGGTAATAAAGAAGGAGAGAATATTGTATTGTATATCAAATATATTTAGCTGCATTAGATTTATATTTTTGTTTATATGAGACTAACCATTTATTTGGTTCAGTTAGTATTTATAATTGCATTGTGTCACTGAGATAACAATTTATTTTATTGGTAACAATTATAAAATTTAAACAAAATCTCTTTAATATCTTTAAACTCGTTTGACCCGTTGATCCGTTAATATATATTAGTGACATGGAACTAAAATAATTATGATTAGAGATCTTTAATGGCATATATTGTAATTTCTTACAAAATCAACGTTACGACTTATATGATGTATTTCCCATATAATAGTATAGGATGAGATTATTGTACTTAAATGGTTTAGTCTTAGATGACTTTTTTTATTTATGGTAAGATACTATTAATATATCAATATTTAAATGACTACTAATTATAATGACTTTTAGTAATATCTGGTCTTTATTTTAAACCAATTTTTTTTTCCTATTTTTGCATCTTGTAATATCCATTTAACAGGTGTGAGTAGTTTTCCCTTATTTGTTTGCCTAGTTAGACTATTAATAAATTAATAATGTAATTTAGTGTGTATTAATACAAAATCCTCTTTAAAAATTACAGTCTATAGTAAATTAGTAAGGGAAAATTGGAAATAAAGGATATCTACTTAAAAATTTGTCCATATGCACCTTTTTTTTGTAGATTGGTCAAATAGATTTTTTGAAAAATCAAAACCCAACTTTACCCTTATTTTCTCTCAAAATTAATTTAAAAAATAAAACTTCATAATTGATTTTACAAAATTAAAATAGAAATAGAAAATCACATAACCTCCAAATAAATCAGAGTCTTTCATAAGACCTTAAAAGACTAAAAGTCTTTTTTCTTCTCGAAGACAAACTCTCGGAGAAAAAAACAAAGTGTGCTGCCGGCGAAAAAAACAAAGTGTGCCGCCGGCGATTCCTCAGCCTTCTCTCAAGCGTTGTCGCCGGCGAGTCGTCAGCCGTCTTGCTTCCTCTTGATATCAGCTTGAAGCTCTTCCCGGTTCGTCTTTCCCTTCTCTGTTTTTTTCTAGGTCTTCACATGTTGTTCTCCAATTTTGATTCTTCTCTATACACTAACAACATAAAAGTAGATTTGTTTATAACTTTGAATTCCTGTAACTTGATTAGAGATTTCAATTTCATGAGTTTTAAACTTCCAAATTTCAATTGAATGTAGATTGAATAAGTCTTTCACTCTTTGATTCATGTTAATGTATATGTGTTTGGGTTCAAATTCATTGATTTATGTAGATTTTTATGTCTGAAAATCAATAGATTTTCAAATTCATTGATTTTCAATGATTACTTTGCTTGCAGTTAGCAGAATTACTTTACTTGGATAATTAGAGTCCTTCACTTTCAACACATTAGTATTAATTTGCGTTTCTTCTATACAGCTTCCTACGTAGGGTTTGATTATGTCATGTAGAGTGAAGAGAATGAATTGACGTGATTAAGTTACTAAGACCCAATTTTTCTTTCTCTAGGAGCCTTATGGGATGTGATTTCAATGGTGAAAACACTGTCAAATTTATAAAATGTATTTGTAAAAACAAATACTTTCACTTACCGGTTGATTATTTAGGGTACTTTCAGTGACATCATTTGCAGTAGAATCTCCTCGTGTGTGTGTGTGTTTGTAATTTCAGTGACATACTTTCACTTCTTGTGTGTGTGTGTTTGTACTTTTTCTTGTTTTTAATAGAATCTCCTCTTAGGTTTATTTTTATATCAAGTGTTTTGTCTCTTAATAACTTTAAATATTTGATAAAGCTAGTTTGTTCTCTATTTTCAGGTTTTGGATCTACATTACATCAAAGGTTATCAATGGAAAACAATCTAGGAAGCACGAGTAAGACATCAGGTACTTTAACATACTAATTTTTGTTTGCTAACTGCAACTATGCACTATAATTAGTCATCACTGTGAATGGTTTTATTTACATATGTTTGTTTTTTATGTGCAGCCACTACTAAGGAGTTTCCCAAGCTCCTTTTCGGACATGGTAAAGTGCCTGAAGTTGAGAAAATTAACAACAGCTGCAGATTATCGATACTTAGGAAAATCAAAGATGCTTTGCCAATAGAGTATGAGAAAGTGAAGTCTGATCCTCTGTTTGCACAAGTCTTCGCCATATACGAAAATGGTTTACATTATTCGGGTCGTCTGGTGCACAGCCTAATGTGTAGACAATTGGTAACAAGAAAACAACATGAGCTCTGGTTTGTGTTTGGAAACAAGCCTCTCCGATTTTCTTTGCAAGAGTTCTACGCAGTGACTGGGCTGAAATACAATGATGATTTCAAGTATGATTTAGATACTTGGAAAGATGATAAGGGGTTTTGGAGCAAGTTGCTGAAAAGAGAGGAGAAGATATGCATTAAGACGATGATGTCTACGCATCTAGGAGCAGTTCACAAGTGGGGTAAAGTAGATAGGATTAGATTTGTCTATTTGTGTGTGATTGCTGGTTTGGTAATTGCGAAAGATGAGAAGAAAGCTATTCCAGTACATTACATCAAATTGGTGATGGATCTTGAGAAGTTAAGGGCGTATCCTTGGGGTTTACATTCGTTTGACTATCTTGTCGAGTCGATCACAAACGCAAAAAAGGACTTGAAGAAGACTAAAAGCTACGCCCTTGATGGTTTCTCAATTGCACTACAGATATGGGCTATGGAAGCAGTTCCTAAAATAGGAGGAATATTAGGAGTGAAGCTTAACAAGAACTTGGGAGCTTCTCTTAGATGTTCTAACTGGAAAGGGGCAGCAAAAGTTTCTTATCAAGAAATTATCGAATTAGAGACAGGAATGACAGCAGAGGTTAGTAGCTTAATTTTCATACATATATACTCAACAATTCATATGGGTTTGCTGCATTTCTGATAAGTAAATATTATTCTGCAGGATATTGTATATCCATACATTTCCATCACAGGAAATTATGATGTATATGAGTCAGTGGATTTCCTGAGGCAAGGTGAGAACAGTGATGTTGCTTTGAAGAACTTAAACGCTTTGATAAGAACTGGTTATGATTTTTCTGACTTTGAGTGGGATGCTGT